TGTGTGTGTGTGTGTGTGTGTGCAATAATTATCATCTTAAACAAACAAATGAGATTTATTATATAAGCACTTTACAAGTTTACAGAATGATAAACACAGTTCAGCACATTTAAAATACAGCAATCAAAATATCTTGCTAACAACTCATCTATTTTTGAGGATTTCAATAAATTATGTATCCAAATTTGATTCTAACAATGCATATAAGCTGTAGCAATTTTTATATCCTTTGCTTAAACCATATATATATATATATATATATATATATATATATATATATATATATAAAATAAAAAATAGTAGGTCCTTACTAGATTAAATAATCATTAATTTTTATATGTTTATGTTAAATTTGTAACCTGATATTACTTGCTTTGTCAAATTTTCTTAATTACACTTTTGTTCTCTTATAAATGCCCTTCGTTTTAGTTGCCCCCAATTTGCCCCCCCCTCATCTTCTGGATTTTAAGTTTAGATCATATCATTTTTTTATTGTGCGTAGTGTCACCACAAATGTATATACAAGTTTCCGGTGTCTATTTTTTAATTCTATTTTAGGTCAGCAAAATGGTAGCGAATTATGTATCGAAAAATAATTCATATTTATCTGTATCTCACTCATTTAAACCGTTATTTAATTCTCTCTTTAAAACTTCTCTCTGTTAAATTTTAATCCCCACCTTCACCTTTAGCTCTTTCCTGTTCTTCTTTCTTCTGTTACACCCTCTCTCTAGAGTTTTCATACATTTCCCTCTCACACTTGTTTCACACTCCTACACATTCTCACTAAAATTTTATTTTTTATACCCGGAGTTATATTTTCTGATTTCTGATGAATTGGATCGTGATTAAGATTCCAATGTAATAAATGATAACCATGGAGTATTAGAGTTTTTTTATTATATTCTTAATCTGCCCTGGACATTGAGTTCTACCTGGATTCTATCCTCTTGGAAATTTATATATATATATATATATATATATTGACCACTAATATTACACACACACACACACACACACACACATACAGAGGGTGTATCCCAAAAATTGACATCATTTTGTAGTCTAATAACAGCCAAATAATTTAGCTCAAATAATCTCAAATTTTAACAAAATGTTTAAAAACTAAGTTGATTATGCAGACTTATCTCAGTGTGAATCTACATGGAAGATGGCTCAGATCTGCCACTGATTATGACAATGTGCTGTTGAAATGGCTACCTTGTTCACCTTGTGATTTGTTTTTTCTAATAGGCTATGTGAAAGGTCAGGTCTGTATCCCCACTCTTCCTACAAGGTTAGAGGAACAGAGAATCAGAGTTGCTGGAGAATGTTATGCAAGACATGCTCCAGTGTGTTTGGCAGGAGCTAGACTACCAACTTGATGTGTGTCATGTCACAGGAGGTGCACATACCGAACATTTGGGAAGCTTTGTGAAATCAGTTATAAAATCTACATCACTTTGAATATCTTGTTTGAATTTTTTATAAATAAATCTTTTATTGCTTAAGATGAAAAAACTATTTAATTTTGTTTACCTTGGACATGTAGTTACTCAAATATTCACATTTTAAATGTCAATTTTTCTGGTGACATTGTGTGTGTGTGTGTGTGTGTGTGTGTATATATATATATATATATATATATATATATATATATATACTAGCAGTATGGCACGGCATTGCCCATGCTTGATTAAAAAATTGTACGACTCATACAGCAATCACTATCACTTGACTTAAAATATTTTTGCCCTTCCTTGCCTTTAAATGAGTGCCCTTTGCTGTGCTGATGTTGCTACATGCCTTTCTTGCCTATCTCACACTGCAAATTTTTTCTAAGCTCTATACTAAACATTAAATCTCTTATGAAAAAAGAACTAAACAAAAATGAACACAAAACGATCAGCTTTAAAAAGAATCGTAATTGGAAAACCAATGAAAAAGAATGTTAACAACAAATACTTTTCACACACCAACCCAGTCCTTGAATCAGAATCAACGTTGAGTTTAAGCAAGTGAATGAGCCAATTGGAGTAAAGTGCCATGCAGATTTAAATTTTTCCCCACTTGTGACGAATGAGGCTATCGATTTTTTTTGCATGCTAGCATGCTAGTTAACATTCATGTCAGTCAGCTGTTGGCTCTCACTCTGGCTAATAGAATCTTCCTGCCTATTCGTGGCAGCCAGCAATAGGCTCTCACTCTGGCCAGTACAAAATGGCCGCAAACTACATAAAAACTGCCGTAGAAGAATGAAAAAAATTGATTATTTCCACTATCAAGGGGAGTTGGGAAATGCAAAGTTGGTCTTGGCCTTCCCGCTAACTTGGAGCATGTGCATGTAAATTTTGGTGCAAATCGGTCAAAATTATGACCTGCATTCATTACACACACATCCTGCCTTTTATATATATATATATATATATATATATATATATATATATATATATATATATAGGAATTGCTTACTTTCTTCATTACTTAAATGATAATCACTGATGACTATGAGGCTTATTTGAGCAACTATTGGAGTTATACTCCTTTGCTGAGGCCCTACTGTTTCCCATACCATCAAGCACTTTCTAAGAATACTTTTAATTTTTTCTGATCTTTAGGTTTTGGTTTTCTTTTCCTCCTATGTAATGGTGATTCTTTGATTCATTTTCATCTTGGCTGTATGAAATTTGTAAGTTAACTCTTAAGTTCTAGTCTAATATTTCCTTCACTCTTCCAGCTTCTTGTTTTACCATCAACTTCAATCAACATATTCTGTCTCCTTGAACCCTGTTCTTTTTATTGTTCTTTCTCATTAGTAACCCCTTGCATTTTAGTGGTTTTATCATGTTGCTAGGGGTTAAATGATTTTTGAAAAAAAATTACACACACACACGTTATTTTTTAATTTAGCATAAGTCTTACAACTAATTGGTTAATCAGGGTAAACACACAAGCCTCATTTTAATTTGTTGTTATCTGTTTTTGAAATTTAAAAATAATTTTTTACTTACCAGTTATTTATCATTGCCTGAAGAAGCACAACTTTAGTGCCGAAACACAAAAGCTTTTGTGTAGCAATTTTTAACATGTTTTTGTTTTATTGTCATATAATAAATAATATTCAGCTTCACTCTGTATTGAACCCTTTTTTAAAATTTAAATGCTACATACAGTGGAATTATACTCCATTTGCTTACCTATATATATATATATATATATATATATATATATATATAATTATTATAAATTAATTGATTTAAAATGTTTTTTCCCGCTACACAGTTCTAACCATGTTTCAAAAATGGAAGCTAAAAGCCACGAATTTAATTTTGCAATTAAATTAAAGACATTAGTTCCATTTCATCCTCAAGCGAATTTTAATTTATAATATTAATGCTCTGTAAATTTACATTGAGCACTATTTTGTAAAAATATCTATAAGAACACCGGATTATATATCTTACTGTTCTTTCTTTATATATATATTTATATATATATATATATATATATATATATGTATGTATGTAGCTTATATTTTATATCAAAGAAACAATTTATACAAAGAATTAAACAGCAATGTTAATGTGATTAATGGTGAAATCACATCTCTGACAGAACTTAATTAGACATTAGCTTACTATCAATTCCTTAAATAATAATAAAAAAAAAATTCACTTGGTCAATTTTAACAAGAATTCCAGTGTTGCAACATCACATACTCCAAAACTGTCAATAAATAGCATATTCTAAAAAGTGCCCTGAGGACGATAATTTGAAATTGTCAAAGTTCTTGCCATGTGTCTTCTGACAACAATTTGAATACAAGGATCTTATTATTCAAGTAATTGATAGTAAGTTAATGTCTCATTAAGTTCTGTTAGTGAAGTGATTTCACCATTAATCACATTAACATTGCTATTTAATTCTTTGTATAAAATGTTTCAGATATATATGTGTGTGTGTGTGTGTGTGTGTTTGTTTCACCCCCAAGTAAAGCAGTAAAACCATTAAGACACAAGGGGTTATTGAACGTGAGAGAAATATTATTAAGAAGTGAAAGCAATGAAAGAAGAGGGATCAAGAAGACAGTAGATAATGATTGACATAGCATTTAAATTTTTGAAGATCAAAGTTGGCCGGAAAGCACTGAGGTGGAAAAGAATTCCACAAGTGAGAAGTGTGATAAAAGAAAATGTTAGCATCGAACTTGTTGTTACATTTAGCCAATTCAATTGTAAACTGATGAGATTTTGTTTGCCAATGTGGTACTGCACTTAAATTCATAATGTCTAGGTACCATAGCAGAAAGATCATCTGAGCAATTACCATGAAAGTATTTATAAAAAAGGCATAGGGAATCAACTTTATGGCAGTGGAAAAGTGACTGAAATTGAGATGCCAGGTCAGGATCAATAATATTGCTGATTCTTCTTTGGATTTTATCAAGAATCTATAAATAGAGCACCAGACCATGTGTGGCAACAATATTCAAAGCATAGACGAACGGTTGATTTATAAATATGTAAGATAGATTCTGGTGAAAAACATTGTCTAGCATGATACAGTGAATCAACTTTCTTAACAGTAGACTAAGCAACTGATTCAATATATTTCCATCTTCACACACAATATCTATAAATCAAATTCACACACACATTGTGCATGTACATTTTTAGATGAAGAATTATCCATTAATTTTTTAACTTTTATTTCATTTTGATTTCAGCTGTATGGTTACATTTTAATTCCTGCTGTTAGTGGTCTCCATGACCTAACTGGTAAAATAGGTGTCACATATACATCTTTTACATATCAGGTCAGATCAAATTGACATGACTATAATTTCTGAGCATGTTCAAATAAACTCTTTTTTTTTATTCAAATCTCCCTGATAAATGTTCTAAAATGGTCATATTGATTTAATACCATTAAAGAAAAAAAAAATAACAACACTTTTTTGTTGATGTTATTTTCTTTACCATAAGGAAATTTTGACTTACCTTTCTCCTTTCATCCAGAGATGAAAATAGTGCATTCACCTCAGCTAAATGGAGTTTCTGAAAGAATGATGAAGAGAAAATAATGAATGATCATCGTTTCTCAATACAGTGAAATCTAGAGGGATCATATACAACTATTGGCACATTAAATAAAAATTACAAGAATTATTCTTTATCCACAGAGATTAAAGTATAGACTATAAGCACAAAGAGACTATTTGATATCTGTCTATGTTTCTGAGATGAGGTATTATGTACATTATTTACATTATTCAGACTATTATCCTCATCATTGTTGCGACAAAGATGAGGACAATAGTCTGAATAATGTAAATAATAGACTATTTGATAACTTGAAGTATTAGTTCTGTATACTTACAATAGTAAGAGAAAGAACAAATCAGAAATGTTTATCAATCTAACATGTTTCACTTTTATTAAAGCTTCATCAGAGAATGAGATATGGAAAAAAAAAACCAAAGAAATTCTGGTATTTTTACTTTTGTGTTTTTTGATTTTCATTGGTTAATCATGTTTCACATGCATTCAACTTGTTAAACAAATGTTAGTATAATTTGTGGTGCTCTGAATTAAAGGAGAGACAACATGTCCATTCAAAGTTCTAAGAAATTAAATTATAATTAATTTATTTCAAATTATTACCTCCATAAGATTAAAGCTTAATATTTAATAAGATTAGCCATTTCTTTATAAGGAAACACTAAGCATTCATTAACCGAACAGTTAGTATTACAGGCTTATCAAGTATAAACTGTTTCAGGTAGTGGGAAAAGTCAGCATTTTGATTATATTATTTTCTCTTCTAGCAACATGTGCTTTTAGATGCTACTGTTGTTGGAAGTCTTCAAGCAATGTGGGTTTTGATATTTGATAAAGCTCTATGTGATTTTGTAGCACCAGTCTGTAGGATCTGATTGAAGGAGTGTTTTCTTTAAGACCTTAAAGATTCATGCACTTGAAGCCATTTTTTAATCATTGATTTGAGAAAACAGTTGTATATAGATGATAGATGATAGATGATTTCTGAATGAATTGGATGCCATGTGTGACATCCACATGAGAGTCTAGATCTAACACATTGTAGGTTTTCAGGTTATTTTGGTTTAGGCAAAGGAAAACATCTTATGTCTTTATAGAGTGGAGGGAGATTGATACACTTGTAATATCATTATTGACAACAGAAAGTTTCATATCAAGCTTCTTTATCTGCTGTTTTTTTTTTTTAATATTTTAAATCTTTTCACACCAAGCAAAGTGATAATGCCATTAAGCTAGTTTTTGATGCTATCTGTGAGTACTCATTATTTAAGAATTATACCATATTATGCATGATCTGTTGGTGGGATGAAATAGAACAACCTGCTAGATTTGGCCTGTGGGTCATAGTTTAACAACCCCTGTTCTAACCAATCAATCGTGTTGTTTATATTTAACAATTTCTCTCTTGTGATTTAATGATATGAAATTTTCTTTTACTTAAAGTATTTCAGACCAGTAATAATATCACTAGGATGCAAAAGGTTACTCAGAGTGGAAAAGAAAGAGAAGACTTTAGTGAGGAGAAAAGACAATGAGAGAAAAGGATTCAGGAAGACAGAAATTTTAAATTTTTAGATAGTAGGTGACAGGAAAGAGTTGCTCAGGCATGAAAGTGAGAAAAGAAACTATTAGAAAAGAACTTACAGTTCAGTCAGTCATGTACCATGCGTGATATATGCTTAGGTGATCATGTATCTTTTGATGCATGACTAATGAGGCAGAATTTTTTCCACAATAGGTCGCCATTTTTTTCTGTGGTAGACCAATTGCTATCCAAGGCTATAGAACCTGGTCTATCCTAATATTTACCCATATCTAGTGGGAGAAGAAGAGGATTCATACCTTTCCCAAAGATATTAGGATGTAAGTAAATATAATGGATAGTCGCTCGGATTAAGGAATTGGAGAGCCGAGTTTGAATTCCAGTCAAATCCATTACATGCATAGCATATAACTGACTGACTTACAGTTACATTTAGTCATTTTAACAGTAAAATGATGAAAACTAGTAGCCAATCTAGTAGTACACTTAAATGCATGCAGTTTAGTTATCAAGAAGGAAAGCAATATTTATTTTGAATAATACAAAAATGTAGGTCAAGGCCAAAAAGGGAATAGAAGTTTAGCATTCAGCTACTCTTCCAATTTTGGTATCTCTTTGCAGATCTTCACATGGCATTGGACTTTGTAATAAGTGTGAAGTTCTGAGTCTGCTCATCTGACATGAACAAATTTTGTGTAACATTCATGCTTGTGTTTTTTGGTCTTCAGTTCTTCAATTTCCATAAACACAAATTTCTGTTTTTGTCCAGCTGCTTCTTCCTGCCATTTTTTCTTTGCAGCCCCAAGGTATTGGCCATATGCATTTCTGGCATTGGAAGCACTGCAGAGAAGAGTCATAGTCATGGGAACAATTTCCAGCAGCTCCAACTGTGGCCAAATAGTCTGTGATAATGTGCTGTGTGACCAGAGTCTGCCATTTCATATTGTCAGTGGTAATTTCTTTATTGACTGAGAAACCTCTCTCCACTGTGGTCAGTCCATGAGAGAGTACCAGCAATCTGCAAACAACTTTTCAGTTTTTAATATTCTTTGTTGCTAGACAAAAAAAAAAAAGTAGAAGGTGGCCAGATGGTCTTTATGCTTTCTGAAATTCTTGAAAGCAATATTTCCAGCAGCCTCCTCATTGAACTCATACTGACTGATGAGGTCATCACAGACTTGCCGATTTGTTTTTCTGTCCATCATTTGGGAAAGACATCTTATTAAACTGTATTCTATAGCAGATTTTTTTTCACAAATGGATCCAGGGTTCAACTATGCAAGTGATCTTTCAAGAGGGTATCTAAGAGGAGACTTTACCTTTTCTCAATGATGGTGATGAACATTGTCTTTGTTGCAATTCTGCATGCAAACAGATCTTTTATTGACACATTTGCTTTTTTGGATAGCCTTATCTGTCAGAAATCCACACTCGATCTTTGAAGCATCTTTATGCATGTTTGGGTTTGACAAATTCAGTTTGGAAATTTTATCTTTTTAGTGTGCTCTTCCTTTACAAATCTTAACAGTATCACTATCATGTTAAAAGATCTTCTGCAAGGAAAAGAAGCAATGATTTATCGCTCTGATATTTTATCAGAAACAGTTCAATGTCTTTTGAAACAGGCACAAAAATCTGAAGTTTCACTGGAAATAAAACATCATTCATGTTTGACAGCACCACAGAGAAGGACTTGGTCTGGGAACATTTTTCCTTTTTTTTTTTTTTTTTAAATTAAGTTCACAAATCTGATGACATCTGAGAAAATGTCTAAGAGTCGTACATTTTCTAGCCATCTATGTCAGAGATACCAAAGTAAAGGGACAGGGTTGCCAAATTGAACTTTTAATATAAAGCCAAGCAATATAAAAACCAAATAAATTTTAATATATTTTATCATTGCCTGCAAACTTTAAAAATAACATTCTTATTTTTTCAAAGATGCATTTTCTATCCTCGCCTAAGAAACATCAAAGGCATGTTTTCTATTATCTTTCCGATCTACATTTTCTCAAGTTTGATTCTTAAAATTGTTACTTTTGGCAACAATTGAGATAAATGTAGTTTACACACAGACACACATTGACTGGAAAATTCATTAAGGAAAAATTGGTAACAAAAAATTTGGTAATTTTGACAAAGTAGGAAAATTTAACAGAGATGTTTATTTGTCTCTGACACCTGTTATCTTTGGTTTTCCTCTTTTTCTGTTGAGTAAAAGCAGCAGCTAGAAGACATGCCTTCGTATTTTTTCTCATTACCTAGATGAGAAAATATACAGAAGTAACTATGAAAGCTATATATATATATATATATATATATATATATATATATAGATAGATAGATATATATATATAGATATATATAGGGGTGTACACACAGAGTAAATGTACACACATTGTTTCACTCAATGCAAAGCAATAAAGCCAGTAGGATACAAAGGGTTACTGGGAGTGAAAGAAACTGAGAAGGCTATAGTGAGGTGCAATGACAATAATCAAACAGGTACCAGGAAGACAGAAAATGGCGATTGATGTTACATTTAAATTTTTGAACATTCTAGACGGCAAGGAAGCAAGAAATCAGAAAGAAGCTCTATAGGTGAGTAGTGTAAAAAAAAAGAAATTATTAGAATAGAGCATATGGTTGCATTTAGCTAGTTTAACAGTAGAATGGTGAGACCTAGTTACCAATCCAGTAGCATGCTTAAATTCATGCAGTTGAGGCACCAAAGAGAAAATCTCCTCTGAGCAATTGCCATAAAAATATTTGTAGAAAAGAGAGGCAAGCCATGTCACGTTGGTGAGAAAGTGACTGAAGTTGAGATGCCAGGTCAGGATACTTCATGTAATTTTGTTTTCTATCAGGAACAAAATTTAAGCCAAACTTAGAAAGCTATTTAATGAAACTGAATAATTGGTGATGAAGCCATATGGAAGCGATCTGACTGCACTTGTTGATGAATGAAAAGGTTAATGCTGAAGAAAGTGAAAGATCAGTTAGTGAAACTATGAAGATACCAAATGCAGAAATACAAATGTCTGATTAAATAAGAGGTGAGAAAACATTCAGAAACTAAATTTTGCTATTTTTATTGTCAAAACATTTTACATTTGAGCTTGCATAAATGGATCGCAGAACAGGGAATGGGAGGTGTAGTAAGGAAACAAACATTGCCTATACTTATACAAAGGATAGGAAGTTGTGGAGAGCCATGATTGCCTACATCCTAATGAGATATGTCACATAGAAGGCGGCCTAAACTTGTGTCATGATGCATGGTGAGCAAAGATCTATTGCCATAACAGCTTCACAAGCTAATGACTGTGAATACATAATTGGATATCACTGATTATGATTTATTAGTTTTTATGTAATCTATTCTAGGTATTAAGTTCAAGTTAGTCTAGCATATTGATTCTTAACCAGCTACCCTCCAAATCAGTATTTCCGG